TTTTTCCACCCACTGCTTCTCAAAAATTGAAAAGCAGATGTAATTAAAAGAGACTGAAAACTTCTCCACATTTAACCTCTTCTGGCTGATTTGGATTAAAACACATGGAGGCATTACCTGCATGACTGAGTCCCTTCCCCAATCCCCCTCTCCACGTGCATGTGCAGAAGGCACCGGGCAGCGCCATGGACCTACCGTCTCGTAGAACTGCACCTGCTGCTCCAGGTAAAGGCGGATGACACTGTTGTAATCGTAGATCCGGTTACTATGGAAATGATTCATCTCCGCTACAAGCGAAACCAAGACCTGCGTCAGTCGCCCCCAGGGCTTCAAAGACCTGTGGGCTTCTCTACTCGTTACAGTTAATCACCCGGACACAACGTGGCTGGCTTTAGCGCAGTGTCAGCTCCTGGCCGACCTCTTATAAAGAGCTGGGGAAGATACAGGCAAGACAGCCCTTTGCAGTAACTGGATGACTGTCATTGATTGGTATACAACGTACCACGGGACCCTACGTGGACTGTCCTAGCAGCAGTGATCCAGTATGGCACTGAGTTGGTCCTGTTCTCCCCAAGGGGACTGTAGCTACAGACCTCAGAGCATTTTACCCAGCAAGCACCTGGTGGGTCCTGCACACTGAGGCAGTGTGGAAAGGCTGGGCAGAGGAGGTGGTGGGAGACCTCAGACGAAACTCTCTCTGCCCCTCCTCCAGAACAGGGAGCTCTGCCACCTGACCCCAGGCAGGCAGGCAGGCAGACCGTCTCTCACCCGGCAAAGCACTGGATGCCGACGTGTGATCCTTCACCGTGGCGGAATACATGGGTCCCTTCTTCCCTTACAAAACGTGCCTCTTGCATCCCTCGCCCTCTGTTGAAGGTGACATTTACCCTTGGCTCCTCATCCCCCCAGACAAGTGACTCCCCATGATTGTTCTCTCCATGGAGTGTATCTACCTCAGGTAAATGTTCAACTCATATGCCTGTCTATTGTTTGGCTGGAAGCCACAGGTGTGGCTTCACTTCCAGACCT